TAGCAAAACTTGGAGAAATCATGAGCGTAGAGAAAGAATTAAGACATAAGGTACAGGAAACAGAATAATCCATACTCCAAACACCATACAGAAGCTCATCATGGACGGAAGTAGATGACGAAAAACAATGATGCAAATGCGTTAGACCACTTCAATGCGAACACTTTTCCTTGCTTCGCCTCCTCGCTTCCCTGGAAATGCTGCGCAGGAACCTACCATGCATCCCATCCACTCAGCAAAGGTAGCCCCGGTAAATAACGCTGACAAAAATAACTGCAAAGGAAAGATACAAGACATCAAATCGTAATCGTTACTGTAGCAAAATCGTAGCCGCGCCCCAATGTATTGGAAAAAGCCCCCCTGTGTTGTATAGGTAGGAAACAATGCACCTCCCAGCATAACGTCAGATCCCGCGGTTTATAATACATCGCAAAGGATCCTCGTAAATACTTAGGCGGGCGCATCAACAAAAGTCGAGTCGAAGATGGGAACGAGGCGGCTTCATGGACACCAGGTGAGCAGGTCGGGTTGACAACTGCACTGTCGTTTAAGAGTTTCAAGTCATGCTTGATAGCCTTCAGAAAGCTTATCCCCACTGGGGTAAAAAGAGAAAGAGGGAAAAAGAAAATTTCGTGTTTTCCATCGACGGAGGGACACAGAGACATGTAGAAAGCAAAGGACGTTCGCGTTGTGATCTCGTAGGCGGCGGGGTCTAAAGCGCTTATGCATCTTCGTTCATCCTTGGATGATAGCAGGTGTCTGCGTATCCTTCATAAAACTGTTTTGCATAGGCTGAAGATATGGATATCCGACATGGTTCGGTGACGACGGAGCGGCAGGGGAGTGTCGAGAATCACCACCATAAACCCCATCCATGGGAGGAGATGAGCAGGGAGACACCGAGCTGGAACTGCTACTAGACCCCGTCCGGGTTTCATAGTCCGGACTTCCCGTGACGGGACCCACTGCACCACTTGGGTAATTCATCGATCCGGATCCGAAGAAGCAGTATTTATCAACCAACTCTTTATAAACCGACGACTCGCGATGCGGCTTGCCAGAAACGATGGTAGAGGGTTTATGGTGGTCTGAGGACCCTGGTTGCTGGCTACCTCTGCTAGGCAAAGGCGCGTTCTCCTCCTTGTGGCTTGCTTTCTGTTCCGACGAATGGCCGCGACTATCATGCGACGGGAGTTTCGATTTTGCTCGAGCTGTCAATGTCGTGCGATCGTGGGTAGGTTTGGTCCGCATGGCTGCCGACAAGGAGGCTTCGAAATCGTAACGATTTCCAAAGACCTGATGGTTCTGCTTATCGCGACGTATCGGAGCCACCATTTCAACATCATGCGGATCATCATCACCCAAATGTTCCTTCTTGCCATTCGTTGGTGGGTTGCCGAACGAGATGTACTTGTCCATCTCAGACAGGGCATCAAATGAAGGCGGCATTGAGTGAGGGCGACTGTTGGATCCAGCAAAGCTCCTGCTCCTAGGCAAATTCGTACGAGGACGTGCGGAGGGAGGAGCACGGGCCTGGGGCATTTCTTTTTGTACCCTGCGAAAGTTGACTTGATAATTTTGTGAGTTGTTGTTGTCCCAGTACTCCTCTCCAGCGACATTGTAGCGAATGCACACAAACATGGTTTTCCTCTCCAAATTTGCTTGGTCATCCAGCCGGATGCTGAAAGCAAACCTGTCATAGCCATCCTGAGTAGGCTTCCGTCGGGGGTCATCATTGTACTCGGCTGAGACTTCAGAAACAGTCTTCCAATGATCGAGAGTAAAGCGAGCAGCAACGTGCTTGTGGAAAGCCAGGTTGGCAACCCCAACGACGCCGATCATGGTGTTTTTATCCGAAGACAAGTGCAGGCGTTCCAATCGAACGCGTTGCTTAGCCCGAGAAGGGCTGTCTTTAGGAAAGTTCGACAGACCAAGCTCCCATTCAAAAGCGGGCATGTCCCGATGACCCTTCTTGAACGGAAACTCCTCTGCTGCGTCATAGTCTTCCGCTGGCGATGTGTCTGCACTTACGGCTTGAGGCTTATCCAATTGCAGGAAATGACGGATATGTTCCAGCTGAGCGTCGAAGTGAACCGCCTTTGCGTAAGTTGGAGTCCCCGGCATGCTAGATGGGCGCCGCCGAGCCGAAGGTGGGCGAAGAGCTGGCCTCACCAGTTCCCCAGACTTCTTGCGGACCATAGGGTGCCTGACCGGGGGCTCGTCATCTCTGTCACTTTCTTCTGGAGAGCTAGTCAAAGCCTCCTCCTGTCTACGGTCAATTGAGGTTTCTGTAACCGATCGAGAGTGGGATATCTTGCGGGCCTCTCTGGAGAGGGGCGGCCGTGGAGGTTGAACAGGGCCACCAGCAATGGCTGCCATGCTCGATGAGGACTGCACCTCCGACAGCTGTCTCTCCGGCGAGGACACTCGTCTCTGCTCAATGGACCTCACAGCAGCCTCCAATTTCTTCAGCTGGAGCCCGTCCTGGGATGGGTATGACACCGCTTCATCACTTGAATTGCTGGCAGATTCGGGAGGTGAGATTAGAGCCCCAGGAGGGATGACAGCATCACTTATGGGAGGCGGCGACGTTCGAATACTGGCATGAGGGTCGTTGACATGATCCACTTTGATATGACCTTCGGGCTCTGGAAAGACAAAGACCTTGCTACTTGAAGGGCTTCGTCGGTGCCTTCGCACATATGAGGTGGAAGAATACGAGCGAGGCAGATGCTGGCGTTGATGGTGAGAGACGACAGCGGTGGGAGAGCTAGGACAGGATTGTGGAGTGAGTTCAGAGTGTTCAATGTGCTGCGCAGAAGGCGACGTCTTCAACGGCGCAGTGTATGGCATCCGGCCGGGAGTGCTTGTGTAAGCAGACACAAGAGTGGGCAATGAGGTGGAAAGTAAGATCGACAGGGTGGTGAAGCTCGTTTCAGGAAAGGTCTTTATGAACAGAAGGCTTCTGGTCCTGAAAAACGGCGTCTGTTGATATATTCTAGTTTCCCCACGTTAGCCAGAGTGTGGAGGCGGCGCCTGGAAACGATATCAAACAGTGGCGAGGATGATGAGCAGCAGCAGCAGCAGCATTGCCTCCACATGGGCGATCATATCAAGAAAAGGGAAGATGGAGGGCCGATGTTACAAATCATGCCAGACGGTCGGTAAAAGAAGGAGAGGAAAGTGGTGTGACTGGGAGGTCAGGGTGTTCCAGGGTATCAGAAGGAGCGTTGGAGGCAAAGCCGGGGGCGGAGGGCGGATGCAGCCAACAGGGTGTTACGAGACAAGAGATCCCGGGCAGTGGCACAGATGAGAGCAACGATCAAGATCCCAGACTCACAAATCATCGCTGGGATTTGCATTGGAGGCAGTTTAGGGAAGAATAGTAGCCATGCGATAAGAGGTATTCACGAAATGAAAAGCACGAGGTCGACTCGACGAATACACTCACCTTGCGGACTCGACATCTAGTATGAACTGAACGTGGAAGGAACTACAAACATGAAAGAAAAGAATAGGAGGGACAGAGAAGACAAATAAGAAGCTGGGCAGTGTGTCGAACAGCCGAGCAGGGAGTAGTTTCCAGCACAGTGAAGAGGAATTAGATACAAAGAAGTTCGTGGTGAATCGAAAGAGAAACGGGCGATGGATGGATGGGTAATGGAGTATATGAGGTGACGGAGTGGAGAAGAGAGCAAAATATTAGGGTAAGCCGCACTTGACGGGGAAAGAAAGAAAAAAAATGAATTAATTTGAAAAAGGGAAAAAAAAAAAAAAAAAAAGAAAAAGAAGAAGAAGAAGAAAATCCAAAAGAGAAAATAAGCATGGAAGTTGGAAAAGAAAAATAAAATAAATCCCAAAGGAAAAGAACCTCTCAGGAATGATATTGATAAGGGAGCTCGGACGTCAAGAATCGAAGGCAAGGAAAATTCGGTACGTCCTGGTAAAGTTGGTAACCTTCAGCCAGGGAGGGGCAAAGAAACAGAAGGGAAAATCCACTGCTCGGATTTCCCCTCTCCGTCACTTTCTACTTGCTTTTCCCCTGAAGGTGTTTAGTGAAGAGCAGGAGGTCTGTTCACCTTGATTCATTTCCTTATTTTTTTTTCTTCTATTTATTTATTTAATTCTGTATTTTAATTTATTTATTTTGTTATCAGAGATTGACCCCCCTCTTGTATTTCTCTAGTCTTTCATGCTTCAGTTAGGGAGGGATGGGGAAGGGGGGGAATGTTTCGTGATGACGACCGTTGGAAAGGAAAAAAAAAAAGACAAGCAGAAGAAGAAGATTCCCTGCCGCGTTGCCGCCGTACCCGGAACAGGACGGAGGGCAATGAGAGGATGATGATGGCGGCGGGCGGAGGTGGTATTAGCGGTAAATACGGGTGCTGGGACGCTACTAACCAACTTAAAATAGGCGATCGAACGGTCTGGGACTGGAGACGATCCCTCGCCGGCCAGTCAGTGCGTTCCGGCCCGGTGGGTCCTTGGTAAAGCGATATCTCGGTCCTGCCTGTAGAAAGTGTCGTATGTCGAACTGTCTGGTAGCAAATTGGTTCCATCATGGAGGGTGGTGATTGTCTGATTGACTGAGTTGACAAATTGAAACCCTGCCCGGCTTTTTCGCCTCTCCGATCGCATTCTTGCCCGGCCGGTACCTTGGACCCGGATGGCATCATTGGCTGCTTATCTTCCTATCATATTCTCTCCTCGGGCCTCATGGAGGTGAGAAACTGAGGACAATCAATATCAATGAATGCTACCATCGTAGTAGAACAACCATGGATTGTTTTGCATATATAAGACACAGACCCATGCGATAGATGAATAGAATGATGGAAAAGCACCTAATCAGTCCACAGTACATGTGGCTCAAGGTGGAGGCCAGGTGATCTTCAAGGCTGCATGTCCGGAGTATTCCAGTCCACTTTGTCTCTGTCGGTATGTGTGTAACGATGTATGTGCTACTTTAGTATGATGTACGTGCTCACTAGGAATGCCCAGGATCAAGGCATACGTGCATCCTTCCGGTCTTTTCCCTTGATGTCGCCATACAAATCCATCACCTCCTTTATGATACCATTGATTTTAATTTATTTTTTTTCTATTACTTTTCCCCCTTCCCACTCCGCCATTCCCTCATACTATCTACAAACTTGAAACAGACCCCATCTCTAGTACTACGTAGTAGCCGCTGGTGATCCTTTCTGGAGGATATGTTTTTCTTATCAGGAGATGATTAGTTGACTTGATCTGTTCCATGGAAGTAGTTATCTCACCGATAAGCCAAGTTTGGTCCTGAAGCCGTCCCCGACCGAACATGTTCAGCAGTAAGAGTAGGTAGACAACTACTAGTCAGTAGTAGTAAGTCTAGGTACGTCCGACCGTGCGGTTTTACGTATGGCAACCATGGTCCCCACCCCCAGCTTTCTTTCTCCCTCTCACCCACTCTTCTTCCTCTTTGTTTCATCCCAATTTCTCTGGTTTCTTTTCCCTCCATTTCTTCTACCTTACGGGATGTTTCCAGTCTTTCAGGCCCTCCCGTAGCGCCAGTCTAAATTTGCCACCGCCCAACCAACGGGACCGGAAGTGGTTATTCACTAAGGAGGCCTGGACGGTCTAGAGGCGGAAATGTTGGGGAGGCTAGTGAGTATCCAGCTAGTACTGAAGTCAAGTCTGTCAGTTAGTCATATCTGTGGGTGGTTGCGATCGGTCGGTCTATTAACTACTAACCACCCCAACTCCACTGAATATGTCTGACCCAAAGTAATCTGAGGATATATTAACCTACGTTGGTTGACTAGTGGGGTTTAGTTTAGTACGATTATAATTATAACCTCGCCTGAGAATACAGTGGGTTTGTTGGCTGATGCGCAACCTACATAGGACGCACATTAGTAGAGCGTAACGCCAGGGGGGTGAGGGTGGGTTGCGGATGCAGACCTGTCCCTTTGCTTTGTCAGTGCACGCACGTTCACACACACACACTCTCTCTCTCTCTCTTGTCTTGTCTTGTCCTGCAACATCCCATGTTTTGCTTGCTTTTCTTGAGACACACTTGTGCTCTTCGCACGAGGGTTGGTCGATCACCATCTTCTCCGCCTTTCATACTTTGGAGGATAGACATTCTAGACATTCTAGACTGTCTCCTGTTTCTTTGCTTTTTTTCTTCTTCCTTTCACCGGGGCGGGTCCTCCCAAAAAAATGCGTTTTTGTAAGATGTCTGCATTGCAATGCTCATATTTTATGATGAAAAGTGACCAATTTTCGGCCACATTGGTCGACTTCCAGCCTAAAAATTGCTACAAGTCATTTTTTATAATATGCTGATGGAAGATTGGCGCCGTCTTTGTTACTTTTCTGGAGGGACGCGGGGGCTAGGGCCGAAGCGGCTAGTAATTGCGGTACCCACACCGGAGGCAGATTACTACTAGTACTAGACTAGACTATAACTAATATACGGAGACTGGGTTGGGAAGTGGATATGAATGGATAGCTGCCCGGTCGCTTAGCGCTACTCCAACGACCCATTTCCAAGGCACCTTGCCAGTATGACATCAGAAAAGATACTTTTCCCTGAGTGAGAGTGAGAGAGTAAGAGAACCTCACTTGATACTTTCTTCTCTCCCTCCCCTTCCTTTCGCTTCCTTGTCCATTCCCATCGAATCGCGTTGTCAGGTCAGTCGTCATGCTGAAGGTCTGCACGGACCATGGGAGAATTTAAAAGACTTATGCTGCAGCGCTGCCTTGATCTGGCCAACCCAGTGTCCGCGCTATCCTGCACACGGAATTGATGGACCTCTCCAGAGAAGTAAAATTCGAAAGGAAGTTGGCTGTGCGCAGCAACTCTTGGCTTCTAGCATCGGGAGTTTTTAGTGACCTGGTCGACGTCGCATTTCTTGGCTGCCGCTGCGCATGGACGCTTAACATTATTATCCACCACCCATTTCCCAACTGACTTGGGAAAATTCTGTATGGATTTGGGTTTGTATGTAGGGGAGGAGAAACAGCAGCAGGTATCCTTATCATCCCCAGCCCTGGTGCAACGGGCTTGCATAGACATCGGGAGTTGATAATGCACTCCCCCTTTGATATTGAGCAATTTCGGTTGCAAATCGAATCTTCAGATGAGTGTTGCATCGCTTGTGTAACGGCCTATGTCGGAGAGAGCCACCCCGGTCCGATGCTTGGACACTCTTTCTCCCACCCCCTTTCATCTCTTCATCGAGGGGGGGGACTAATTCGGTGGCTAAATTCAGGGTGCATTCATTGACAGAGGGCTATTCGGACGATGACTGGCTCTGAAGCTGCTGTTCTCGCCCCCATCGCGGAGACTTATGTCTGCGGTAGCCTCTGGTCTAGATACTACTAGGTCTCATCTAGTAGGAATCCGCGACGCTTCGATGCCACGGGCCTATGGGCTCCTCCTTCTTCTTCTCCTCCTCCCTGCTCGCACGACCAGCATCGAGCGAGCGCTTGTCTCACTTTCCATCCGGGTCTTATCATGGCTCGACTCACCGCACGGCAGGGGCAGCGCCCCCCTGGCCGACTTTAGTAGTTCTCAACTCAATTCCTGTGATGGTATCGATTGGCTGCGTGTCTGATTTGCCACCGGGCATGCAAGCCACAGCGGATAGTCATTAATTGGTGGTCTATCTGCTGGGTGCCATGATGGAAATCATATCGGCAGGATCTGGACGGTCAGTGAGAGGACATTGGTTGGGGTGGTGGTGGTGGTGGGGTTTGACAGTGATAGAGAGAAAGATATCTTGAAGCCACCGATCTTGGCTAGACGGGAGTGATGTTCGGGCCTCGTTCGATGGAAGTCATGTAATGTCGTTCCGAACGCGTGAGGTCCGGATGGCGCAGTTCTCATTCGACGAGCGCCGGCATCTCTTGTGCAGCTGCAGAACCGCGCTAGTGTGGCTCCTCGCCCCCATCGTCTCAGCCTTTCGCGTTCCTCCTTCTCCCTCAACTCTCCCATCTTAGCTCTGCCCATTAAAGCCTATCACTACTAAACTTGTTTGCTTCTTAATCGATTTTATACTATTGTCTATCTTTTTCCATACAGCCTACCGCGCAATCGAGGAAAAAGCTAGACAAACAAAGGGGAAATGCTGGTTTCAGGGCTGGTCAGATCACACTGCAGAGGAAAGGCCAACAACAATGCCTTTCTTATTCAAAATCCGCTAGAACCTCTCGAGGCAATTGACGTGCGTGCTCCTCATCTCCGACACATAACGCCATCAACGCCCCTTGAAACTAGCTGAGTTTGAGCACTGACAGGACTAGCTGTCCTCGGACGACTAGCTTCTGCCTACGACTGACGCTACAACGGCCGGTCGAGCGCCCGAGCGGGTAATCGGCGCCGATTAGCACAGCCGTCCTCCTTGATCGACAACCCACGCTCCCCCGAAGTTCAAGGCCCAGCGCTTGAGGTCCTCTATTTTTTTGTGGTAGCTCCTCTTTTCGCTACTTCCTGACAAAGATACACGTTCCGGAGACGTTAAACTTTGTATGAATCTGGACGTGCATATCACCTAAAGGCGGTCTGGGAAGTTTACACTACTCTCTGCTCGTATCTACTGCGAAGCCGGGCGGGGAAGCTCGCTGCTAGCGGCAGGGTGCAACATAACGGATGTCAGATTGGCTCGTGGGCCAGCTCAGAAACTCTTATCGCTCCGGCCCACCGCGGAGTCTCTGCACGCAAACGGCTTGCTTCTTCCTGTCCGATAACCGCTGCGGTCTCGACCCATGGGCTGCGTCGCAAGCTTCTCAACTCCGCACTCTCTCTCCCAAGAGCAGTGGGGAAGCTGTGCCGTCCACGATGGCTGGCGCAGCAGAACCTCAGCTGGAGACCCCACGGGGAAACCGATCTCCGCGCGAGCCTGCTTGCGTGCTTGCGTGCTTGCTGCGTATCTTCGTTGATGCCTCTTGTGATCGGTACGATACTTCCTCCATCGATCATTCATCGCGACCATTCTTGGGACTCGCATGATGACGGCTATGCTGTGCATCACGATGCAGGAACTCTCCTGTATACTATTGACAGGCCGCTGCGGCTATTGATGCATCGGTTCTTACTATAATCTACCTACTGACATTTCCGATCAACAATAACATGCTTGGCACGGGCGTCACCCTGTCAATACCCGATGTTCGCAACTTCATCCGTAGCCGTGATCCTGAGAAGACAATAGCATAGCCTCTGAGAGCGATCACGTTCCGTTTCACCATGCAGCTCCTGACCACCTGATTGTTGATCGCCAGGGTACGGCAGAGGAGTTGGTACAGTTCTGCTGTGGATTCTAACCGCCCCTAGGCCCTTGGCTCAAGGGACTTGTGGGGTTCTCTGAGCGGGCATCTCTCGTGGCTCGTACAGATCCAACAGGTTTACGCAATTCATATCGGCCCGCGCGGCTGTCTGTTCATGTTGGGGTGTCAAACACAGTCTTTAGCAATGTGAACAGACGGCCGAGTATCATTATTTCAGCATCTATATGGCGCACATGAAAGCTGCCAAACACGGATCGGTCGGAGAACTATACCTGCGTTGGAAATCTGGCCGTCATGTTAGGTGTCGATGCCACATAGGGCAAGCTCACTCGCATTAGTAACGTTCTACACAAGCGTGAGCGAGTAATAGCACAGCATACGATCCACCCCACGGTTTCCGATCGCCCCGACTGCGCCCTACCAATATCTTTCTTGTGTACACATGACAGCCATACCCATGACCGGCCTAAGCTAAGAGCCACCTCCCTCCCCGCTCTTCAGATTGACCTTCATCGAGTGATATCGGATGGTCCGATGCCAACTTCGGGGGCGCCTCATTAGCCCGGGTGTAGGTCCTCCGCCGCACAAGCCGAGTAGTAATGCCACTGGGCCGGGGTCCGTCGAGCACAGACACTACCCTGGCCAGTGGGAGCCAGCGACGGGGATGTCAAACATGCCATTGACTCGGACTAGGCACTGTCCGAGCGCGCAACCCCTCAGTGGACAACAGCCCACGACGTTCCCCTCTTCCAGAGGCAGTGCTATTGGGTATCTGTTTTGGGGGCCCAGGGTGGACTAGTATACCGATGAAAACAATGTTACCGGTGAGGTAACAGGAGCATCTGGTTCTAGATCCCAACATGACCCCAATTCACTATGGTAAGTTCAACTTATTTCCTCTTTCACCATGACCAGAGTCTACCTACAGCACGTCGCTCAACCCTTGCCGCGAATTCAGCTTCATTTTGATGGACATTGCGGGGTACAAAGCACACAGACCGGACAACCCTGGTCCGCCAACTCATAACCATGTGCGACCATCGCGGTATCGAACCTTCTCCGCGGCCGTCCCAGTCCCCATGCGACCACACATGTTAGGTTCTCACCACTTTTGTCTGCCCCCTCTCACACCCCGATCACGAGCCATGGCACACACCACCATCTTCAACAAGTTCCAGCGAACCAGCAACAATCCTGATACAACAAACCCCATGAACCAAGCATTACACCAAGCAAGTCGAATGCCCTTCTTACCTATCTTCCAGAAAACCTGGAGAAGGATTTTGACTGATTGCACAACTCCTATGCCAACACGCAAGGTAATCTACGCGACATGCATCCAAAGCCACAAAAGCAAAACCAAAAAGCGAACATTTACTCATGCATGCTCGACATAATAGCACATCAACAGTATAGCCCAGCTAATGTCCTTCAAAGCCACAAAATGCACCCCGACGTAGTCCAAGAAAGTTAACTAGGGAGCTTGCTCCCATTAGCCACCACCACTTCTATCATGATTTACATAGTGATTAGCTATTCTACCCTCCTAGCATAGCCATCGCCACAGACAACACCTCCTTCACTCTTTCTTTCTCCTTCTTTCTCTATTCAGTAGACTCATCATCATCATGCAAGAGCAATCCGATCGGTCGCTCACCTTTTCCCCCTCGCCACATATAAAAACAGTTAACCTACTACCTGAATAATATCACAAACAAACTATAACCCCTTACTTACTGCACATCAGTCTGTATGTAGGTAGTATGTGAGTCTAGCCTGCCAAAGTGGCAATGTCACCTCACACCTACCTACCAACTAGTATTCATCTATCATATTACCACATTGGCATGTAGGCACATTAACCCGCCAGGAGAAATAATCCGGATCTATTCAACCCACTACTACCACTGATCTCATATTGACTTCAAGCGGCGAACTAACTGATAGGTCGGTCGGTCGGTCGGTCGGGCAGACGACATTGCGATGGGGGTAGCTAGCTAGGTGCTTATGCACTGACTGACAGATTCAGAGTGAGCGAATTCTTTGAAGAATTGAAGTCAAACTTATCCTACTAGGATTTCAACCACTATTAAGGGACAAAGGTACTAACTGCTAGTGAAGTAGTAGCTTATAAGAGGGACCTGGTATTGGAAATGTCATTGCCTGATCGATTGACGGATGCATGGTATCTTTGATACTACTGATTAGTGTGGATGGGTGTATCTCTCTACCTGTTGCAAAATAAGTTATAGTTACTAGTTGTATCTTACGGAAGTTCCAAGTTGGGTGCCATGTAATACAGATGCCTGGAATAGGCAACAGCATGAAACAAGGAGATGGATAGGAGATAGATATGTTACGTTTACTGATTCAGATGTGTGTTGTATTCATGATGTAGGTGTCACGAATATAGTCAGTGTTGTAGTCAGATTTGGAACTTGAATGAAACATGGAACTGAATTGGAAGGAAAGAAAGGAATAAAGTACCGTTACCCATTAAGCCTGCTTTATGGAGGGCAAATAAACAAGTACAGATGGAAAATTCGAAGTGAAAAAGAAGAAGAGGAAGTCAACGCCAGATTGAACTTAGTAAATATAAATAAAAATGTAATGTTCAGACAGCCGCCCCAAGTCCAGCTTTAAGACTGAAAGATGATCCAAAACAACAAAACAAAAAGAAAATAGAAAAAAACAGTACATGCACAAGGTATCATGTTTCATAATCAAACAAGCAATCTGTTTTTGTCTTTCCTGGACCCTTTGACTCCCGTATCGTTAAGAGTGACAAACATCATTACATAGTTTGTTGGTTGGTTGGTTGGTCGGTTGTGCAACAATAGCGACAGCATTATCATAATGTCATATCATATCGGTCGTCACAAAGAATAATAAGTCATGAGTATTACTGCTACACACTTGCCGTTCGTCGTTTTTCGCTCGGTTTCTGTGCATATGCGATCCACAGCCGGAAACCAGTGCCGCGCTGTTGGCATTCGCGGAGGATCTTCCTGTCAGACCAGATGCTAAGGGCAACGTCGCCGTTGGGGAGCACAGGAATTTCATAGCATCTGGTGTACCACCATCGACCGACTTTAGCAACGATCTTCCGAATGGATTCGTCGTTAGAAGGCGAGGGGGAAGGGTCTGAGAGGAGGTCGCCTAGGGATAGGTCCGTGTCGTTGGAGGACGACTTTCCATGCGCCCTTGCTTTCGCTTTGGCAGCTGTTGACAGGCCTGTAAGGGGGGATACGGTGGTATTTGGGGAGGTTGTTGCAAGTATGGTGGATGGATTCGATGATGAGGTGGAGGTGGAGGACGCTGATGATCGGACGATCATTCCAGCAACAGGGATCCGTACCATGCATCTCCGAAGGTTGTCAAACTTATGCCGCCCTAGCAGCCGTTGGATGCTGTCGCTTGCCGGTTTGAGACTAATATTTGCGTCGGATATGTACGTCCGTTCTTTCAGGGTCCTTACGGCTTTTCGCGTGCGGATTCCCATGTTCACCATGTCCAGGTCGAGGATACTCATTTCTAGATAACCACCTGCGCGAAGGACGCGCTTGCATTCAGAGATGATATTATCCTGCGCCTTTTCGGAACAGGCAGCTGGGAATCGTAAAACAGCCACCGCGAAGAAGCCCCTTGGGAAAGGCAGCTGATCATCGAGACTCGTGTGTTGAATGGTGTGGTGGTTTGATGGAGGCTGCCATGCTTGTGGGTGCTTGGATGCAATTGGTTTTGGCCCGTCAGTAAGACTGTACACCTCCGCGTTTGGATATGTCAAAGCACAGTAGAATGACCAATCATCATTTCCCAGTCCATCGACCACCAGGATACGTTCTTGGTCAGACCCTTTGGCATGGTTGTGTGCTGGACTAAAGAGGACTCGCCCAAAGGAGAGCCATCGGCTTGTCATCAGAGATCCAGATCGGATGTTGGTATGAGCGGTGGGCCCTTCGCGATCGCGTTCTGCGATGTCGAAGAGAACGGTGTTGCGCTGTCGACAAATCTCGAAGCTCGGTGATGTAGCCAGGGCTGGCGAACTTAGCAAGCCTGACTGTTGCTCGACTATTGGATTTGGTGCCAATAGCTTGTCCTCTACCTCCTTCTCCACTATGCTACTCTCGCTTCGATCGTCACAGTAACTAGCAATGATCTCACTGTACGAAGGCTGAGATGACGGGACCAAAGACGAATGTAGCTCTGCAACAATTCTGGACCTTCGAAGCCTGACAGAGCCAGTGCTAGATCTAGGTGATGAGGCCGTAGGCTCGACTGCAGGTTGCTCAGATGGTGCAGACATTCCTGGTCCCCCGTTTATCTCTGCCTGAAGAGTTTTGCTCGCCAAGGTCGCTAGCTCAAGCTTGTGATCCACCTCGGATTCGGATTCGAAGAGCGTGCTTGTCGTTTGCGGAGAAAGAACATGGTCGATTAAGTCATCATATTCACCCCATATTTCATCCTCGGTCAACTCAGAATCAGGACCTGGCATGACGGCCGTTACAGCAGCGAGACTGTCAGAGCCACTAGAAGTAGACAAAACGGAATCCTTTCTGGGTGAGAATCGCATGAACTCTTCCTTGGAGTAGGGCCCGGCAATGAAGTCTAAGACACTACCTTTCAAGGGATCCTTGAAAGGATTTGTGAGATCAAACTTGTAGTCGGATTTGCCGGGAAGTGTAGGATAAAGAGTGCCTTGTGTGAAGATGGGTGAAAACGAGATACCACCCGAGGTCTCAGCAACCGGGGCAGTCAAAGACGGTGGTGATTGAGCTACACTGAATGGCCTTGAGAAGGACTGTACAGCCGGCTTGTGCGGCCTTTCGCGCCTTGAGACTACACGTGGGATGCGCCCAACGGACGTCAGGCGACTTTGACGCTCCCCTTCTGGCTTTACCTCTGGGCTTTGTGGTACCATGCTCTTGTTGAAGTACACTTTCGGTGACTGAGGCTGATCTCGAAATATAGCATCGTGTAGTCTTGGTGGTGATGGTAGGAGAATGGATTCCGGTGTTTTCTTGATGTTTAAAGCAGCTGGTACTTCCACTGGGGAGCTGAGTTCGTCCTCCTCAGTGGGTGGTGAATTCTCCACGTTGTGTACGATTTCCTCCAAGGGATCAGAGTCCATGTCAATTAGGGCGTAGTGTGCAATAGGTCGGTGCACAGGCGCTGGAGCCACAGTCGCATGAAGATGAGGTGCAGTACGGGATTTTATCTTTCCTTCTTGCTTTTCGGGTTCTTGTTTTCTCTGGAAGAAATTCCACTTCAGGCCCAGGCCTCGCTTTGTCTGTTTTTGTGGACTTTGCGTCTCTACCGGTACTCTGGGACGCATAGGACGAACTTCAAGGTTCGATTGATGTAAGTCTTGGATTGAAGAAGCTGCAGGCGCTTTTGTGACCGTCGGACCTGTCTCTGGGCGCGAATATGCCACCCTTTGCTGTTCAAATGAGATCTGATGCTTCATGCCCTTAGTGGTCGGCTCCACTGAGTCTACAGATGCTCGAGAACTAGCCAGTGTCTCTGTAGAGCAACCGGGAGACTCGGAAATTATAGACGGCTGCGTCAAGTTTGAGGTAGATGCTGTACTGAAACCACTTGTGCTTTGCTCGCTTGGCCTCCTCTGGGAAGAAATCCCATCTAGATTCCCACCCCTAATGATCACTGGCTCGAGGCGATCAAGTAGAAAGTCGTCAAGGTCTAGCTCCGGCCGGCTTCTAGTGCTACCCTTGCTACTGGCAACCGATTTAGGGCCGCTTCTGGTCGTGCTTGTCGATCTTGCTCGGCTAGTGCTGCTGCTTACGCTTGATCTGCGGCCACGCTGAGCATATCGGCCGTAGCCTTCATGTCCGGTCCCAGCAATTGGACCCTTGCGAGCTGAACGACCTTCACTTCGTGCATCCAAGTCCGGTTTGGACCTCTTCGTGAAGAGGCCAAGTCCTCGTGACTTTCCTGAGGCCACGGAATCATGCTGTAGCTTTTCTTCCTTAGCTGGTTGGCGAGGCGACTTTCGCGACAGCTCCGGAGATGCTGGTACACGGGTCTGGGAGGGTGCCCTTGCGTGCAGTGAGTCGATTGAGGTGGCTGCAGACCTATTTAACCCTGGACGTCTCTCTAAAACGGGTGACCTTTCGATTGAGTCTCGACGTTTGTGGCCCGTCACCGTTTTGGGCGATATATTGCTCTGCACTACAGGTGACGGTTCCAGTATTAACTGGTGAGTACCATCCCTGGTCGGCCGTTTGGGTATCTGGAGAGGCTTCTCAAGCAAATTTGCTCGTACTTTATCTGCGTGAGACATGACCCGTGATACCCTTTTCTCCTCTACCTTTTGCTCAGCCTCAGAGTTCGGTTTCTCTTTGGTCGAGAGTCGTCGAGTGCTGCTTGCGGATGTCTTACGGGGAAGGTGGCTGTAAGATGCGTTGGTAGTGTTCGTTGTGCCGGTCTGTGGCGAAGACTGTTTCGTCTCAGCCTCAATAACAGATGCCTTTGCTCTGGTGCCTTGGTCCAACAAGGGTGACTGTGTTGCGCCCGGCTGCCCTCGGTCACTCGCAGGGCTTGTCTGTTGTGTCTGAAGAAAGAACACCGGAAGCCGACTTTGGGATGGACTAGGTTGCCTTAGGCGAGAACTTTTTGCGGAATGAACGATTCCCGGTGAGTACGAGGATAAAGTAGTTGGTGTCGAAGTCCTACTCCACACTCCTGGAGATTCTGAATACCTTGTGGAAGGACTACTGGCAGACGGGATTATCGGAGTTGGGGGTGGTAGATTTTGTGTGTTGATAGTGGTCCTGAGGCTTGCAAATTCCTTCGGACCGGTTTGGACGTGAGCTTCCGGTACGATGGTCGAAAGATTATCCTCCGAAGCCATTGGTGACGCTAAAATTGAACGGTTCGTAGAGGGTCGTAAGGAGGCGCTCAGAGTCGGCCCAATGGTAGGGATATCTGGTATAATTACATTCAGCTTCTCAGGTCGTAGTCTCTCCAAACTTGGTCTGTTCTGTGCGGTATGTTGACCGATTGTCGGCGCCTTCCTCCGCAAGACATTGCGCGGTCGACCGGGAGCAGGGGACCTCTGGTCGGTGTCAAGGGCATTCAGGGGTTCGGCAGCCATGTGGAAGGGTTGGCGAACGCCTCCATCCGGCATTGGATGCAAGGGTGTCGGCGGCAATGGATGCGTGGCTGTTCGCGGAGGTATCGATGGACGAGCATGCTGACCGGCCGGGATCGTCGAAGGGTCTGATCGTGCGACACTGTGACGAGATTCCTCAGCGCTGGACAACGATGACGCTCGGATAGCCCTAGTCGAGGCAAGCGTTGGTCTCGGTATCTGCGGCCTGGGCAATAGCTGGGCAGGGGCGTCGTGATGCCGAGCTGAGGCCATCACGGGCGACGATACGCTCCGGGACTGGCTGGCGACATTCTTCAGTCGGGGTATTCGACTGCCGTCAGACTTGTGCGACGACATGGTGTGACCTGGGTCCAGCCTCCAGTTGTAGTCCGAAGACCAACGATCTAACGATAGGAGTAGGACGAGGTAGACAGGAAATCATTCCGTCTGATGATATTTATAGCCGACGATAACGCTACCAGCGATAAGGCTTGTGAGCTTTCATTGAACCAATGCCAGCAGCTGGGGGATGACTTACCCTTCATAACATGTCAGGGAATTGTGCGAGTTGCGACAGTGACAGGTGCCGGTCAATTATAAAACCTAGAAAGTAACCGCGCAGCGGGGTATGTAGAGGCGGGGCAGAAGAAAGCTATTCAGAATAGGGCCACGGTTTGATGGAGCGTTGGGGAAATAAGCGGTCGTATTTAGCGGGGGGTAGGTGTCATAGAAGAATAGTGACCAAGACCGACAAGAAGATACGAGACTGCAACTATGGAAAGCAGAAGATTTAAAAAGTATACAAAGGACCGACAAGTACACCGTGCAGGCGCTGCGCCACAGTATGGAGACGTTCAGAGTGGCTAAATGCAGGAGAAAAAATAAAAAAAAGGTCGAGCTCCGTCTGCACGACCACGTCAGAGAGCGTCGGTCTATTAAAAAAGGTAGACTATGCAGAAGCCACATTAAATGGCGTAGAATAGAACAACCAAGACCAGCTACACAGGAAAAAATAACGAAAGAACGATAGAGATGAATAGAAGAGAAGAAGAAGAGGGAGAGAAAGAGAAGGGCATGCGAACTGGGAGCTGGAAGTCTTAATTAGTCCCGTACCAGGAATAGATCTGGACCATCTGCGAAACCTGGACAAGCCAGGACTACCCTCGAACCCCGTTTGGCGACATCGTGCGTAGTGGGGGAACCAGTAACCCGATTCGTAGGTAAACGATCCGTCTAGAGAGCGTCAACCATCACAGATAATCCTGGCGCGATTTGTGCGATCGACGCTGGGTCGGGATTCGAGCAGTGATGTGACCGGGATGGTAATTGGCGCAGGCACTTCTCCTTTTCTCTGCTTCCCTTTCTTGATCTGGTGAATTATCTCCTGTGATCCCGCTTCTGTTATCGACGGTCTCAATCCTGGAGTCTATCTAAATCAGCCGAAGTCACGAGCAGGCTGGCGAATAATCTCTCGAAAGCCGTCAAGCTCGACCAGGCCGGGGACAAGCCGTAATGACAGCAGAGGCAAGGCCAGTGAACAATGGAAGGAATCCATGCCCGCGGCCCACTCCTGGTTGTTACGGCTATTCTAACTGGTAAGTACCATGGTCTTCCAGGGTTGGGGACTGTTCAACGGCATCGCTTGACAGGTCGAGATGGAGTTGAGTGGCGTGAGATAGCGGGAAGACCGTCGTGCGCTGAACCGGCCATTTGCCGTGGGCCAACGCGCGAATGGCAGATGCAGGCATCAGCCAAGCATGCTGGTGGTCACTGTAAGTCTTCTGTCAGTTGTCAGTCAGGATTGCCGCAGTCAACTAGTGCTTTGTAAGGACTAAGAAGCGAGGTTCAAGCTTGAAGTGGTCTGTGTGTTTTTTTTGGAGAAGATGGGCGCTGATTTGATGCTGACCGGAGATTTTCACGGCGGCGACCCAAGCCGGTCAGGTGGTGGTCACTGACCGTCACTGACGGTCACTGACTATTCGGAGAGGCCGAGTTTAGCCATCTCGATTTTAATTATAGCAACACCACGCATGCAGGCAGGCCCTTCATTCTCTTTCTCTCACAATGAGATTTCGAAGTCCCTGGAGGAATCAACTACACTCACTGCACTGTCTACTGTGTTATCTCGAGAAAGCAATTATCTCACACTTTCTCTGCCGTGTGTGTGTGCTCTGAATGAGCGACAAGGTACTACACCACACTCAACCCTGGTACACCGGAAGGTTCGCCCCGATCCATTCAACTTCCCCCCATCCAGTCACATCGTTTATTGCCCCCATCACACAGAACGAAATGGACATTTGCCTCGATCCACTCTCACAACGGCCAGACATGATATACTTTGTTCCTTCGCGTACCTTTCACACGACCAGTGACATCCCCGAAGCTACAGGCCGCACACAGCAGCTGAGACCGAGGACTAAACCCGGTGGATCCCCGCCGCCTTAGCAAACCACAGTCGGTCCCTAATTGCCTATCTGCAATCCTTTCAAAATCAACTAAGAAAAGTGCCTCATTGCCTCTCCCCGATCCGAGGGGAATGCGGAGTCGCTGAGCCGTGGGTCTTGATCCGCCGCTAGACATTCAACACGGGGCGACAATCACGCCTGATTGACGGATCCAAGGTGAACGGAGCCTGGCTCAGCAATTAGCACCACGGGCGCACTGAACCAACTACGAAGGGCTTTTGCCCGACAGAGTGAAGCAAAGGCCCCCGCCCCTACTGCCTTTTTGTGAATGTGATTCAGTGGGACGGCGGTTAACTGACTTCTGGCCTACTTACTATATCTGAACTTTACCCCCTCTCTCGTCTCCCCTGAGCGATGTGACATATACCAATCACGGAGCATCTAGAATTTGTTCACAGTTGGTTGTTTACGCGTCTGTCTAGGACGGATAAAACATGCAACTCGGGGCGAAAACAGAAGGAATGTGCGTGATGATAGACTAAGTTCTGCAGATCCGATCCGATCCCAAGGCCAGCCAGGAAAGAAGCCACGGTCGGTCGGTCGGTCGGTTGGCGCTGCAGGAACTGGGGCGCCATCATGCTCATGCGCCAGGGATTTTCAGCTGAACGTGTGAATGCTACGAGTTCCACTACAGAATTAGGCTTGCAGCTCGACTATTTACTTGGGATTCGATAGCTTATATGCTGTACACCAGCCTCCTTTTATATTATTCGCCTCGTTTCTTCGTCAATGGTGAGTGATGTCTGATGGGGACAACAATGACTGAAGAAGGGTAAGAAAAAGAAAGCAACACAAGGGCGGATTGGATGGATGCATGTCACCCTGCACGGATCTTTGACCACATCCAGGGGAAATCTCCGGGCAATATCCAACAATGCCTACCGGGATCTCCTCAATGGCCCTGACTTCTTGTCACACCGTCAGATCCAATAACCGAATGGTATTTGCCAGTTACACAATGGCCGACCCGATCGACCAGGTCCGGCACTTCTTAGTGGCACCCAGGCCAAGTTATCACAATATCCCTCACACCGTCAACCGCGACTCCAGTTCGCAACATGTACACAACAGCATATTTTCAGACCAAAGCTTGAATTTCCCCTAAAACGCCAGTAACCTGTAAAGAAAGAAGAAAGAAGAGATAGCAGAGTATGAACCGGAATATCACATTGCGACCCTCCTCTGGGTCTACGCAGCAGCTCCGAACCTCTTCTTCCGAGCTTCCAGGGCCGCGACGTCCTTTTGACTCCAGTTGGTCTTGGCCCCAGCAGCAGCAGCAGTAACACCACCGCCATTCTGTTGCTTCTGAGGGCGACCTTGACCCTGGTTACGGTTCCCACCGTGTCCTCCTCTGCCGCGGAACCTGTTCCTCCCTCCGAGATCCCTCTTCTTTCCACCGCGACCACCACCGCCGCCGCTCTGCTCATCACCGCGACCTCTCTTGCGCGACTTCTCCTCCTTCTCCGGCAACGCCTCATCCAGCTTCTTCACACCGACTTCCCCAGGAGCCGGAGCCGCAGTACCGAACCGCTTCGCCCGCTCCAGCTGCTTCTCCGCCGCTTCAATCGCAGCCTTGGACTCCTCCGTAACACCGAACTTCTCCGCGCGAGCCTTCCTCTTCTTCAATTCCTCCTCCATCTCCGTAATCGGCAACCCAGCGGAGTAAGTAACTGCCGGCTTCTTCTCCTCCTCTCCCTCCTTCTCCGTAGCACCAGCAGCAGCACCCTCCTCTTCCTTCTTCTCCTCCTGCTGCTGCGCAGCATCACCAGGTTGCTCGACCTTCAAATCCTTCGCGGTCGCGGGATCCGCCTCCTCATCCAACTTCTGATTCGGCACCTTGACGGGGTTCTCTACCTCGCCTTGTCCACCGGCCGCGATCGCCGCGGCGCCCGTCGCAGTCGACGCCTTAGCAGCCGCCTCACCAGCAGGGACCTCATCGTCTTCCCAGTCAATCACATCATCGGTGTTGTTGTCACCCTTCGTAGCAGCAGCAGCAGCAGCAGGCTTCTCCTCCGACTTGTCAGCAGCGCTGTTATCGTTCTCCTGGAGCCGGGCGACCATCTCAGCTTTCTTGCCCGTGTGGGGGAGATTGCGCGACTTGAGGATCTCGATCAATTCGGCGTTGGTCTTTTTGCTGTAGTCGGTTGCCATTTTGATCTGGATTGCGATATGCGATGTGAGGTAGGTAGGTAGTAGGTAAGTGTGTATCGTAGTAGACGAGAGTAATAGTAAGGTAAGGTATGTAAGCAAGCAAGTTGCGACAGATGGATGAATGAGATGGGAGGGAAGAAGGGAGATTGAAATAGATAGATGAAAGAGAAGAAAGCAAGTGAGACGATTACACTCTCACAACCACCATGCGCAATTCAAACAAAATTCAATTTAAATAAATTGACGGAAGGAGAAAACCGTGAGTGATGATTGTGGTTGTACTGAAAGGAGAAGAGATGAAAGAAAGAGATTGACGATTGGGGGGGGAGAGATGGGTGTGGATGGGATGGAGGTCCGTTCCGGAAGTGGTGGTGGTGCTCTGAGCTACGCGTTTTTGGGGGGAAAACGCGGGTGTTCCAGGCTTCCCAGTTTCTCTGCTCTGCTCTCAGCTGCTGGGCTGTTCCTGTTCTGGCTTGTCTGGCCTGTGAGTGAGCCTTACTGCCGGAGCTTACCGGTTTTGGGGGAGAGACATTATGGTCACGTGATGTGTGAGTGTGGTGGGTATGACATAATCGCTTATCTATTTATTCTATTCTGATTTCTATTTGAATGTGTATACTTTGTTCAGCTATTTGTTAGGAAAAGATGGAATTTACCCAGAATGAAAGGATACTCTTGACGGGATATTAATTATGCATGTGTGCTTACTTCTAATCTAAAACTTTGCAATCGTGGATGATGACAGCTGAAAGAAAGAAAGAAAGATGGAATATTTAGAAGATAGATCCCGCATAAACTGCCAGATATTTGTTAGTTAGTGTTTGAGTGGTGGCGGTGGTTTATCGGTTAGATTGTGGCTGAAGTTACTAACTATTGAGTTTATATGATGTGCCAGTCTGTTGCTTTAACTTTATGTGGAATGATTGGGCGCAGCTGCCAGCTGAAGCAAAGCATAGATAGACTTTGTGTTGACGTGGTGCTTGGATAGCCTTTCAGTGGCGGAGGGATCCGGACGTGGCTGGGTTTAAGCGCGTTGGCGTGGGTTATAGGATGTGTTGAGTATAGGGTGTGTGGGTATAGATGTTATGTCAGGATGGTTCTATTGAGATGGAGAGTGTGGGTTATGCTTCTGTAGGAGACGGGAAGTTGCAATGATATCTTTCTTCCCTTTGTTTATTCCTCTACAATGTGGAGCTTGGATTGCTTCTGCGTTTGCAAGCAGAATTATCATGAATTTAGGTTGCTCAATAAGTTGGGCAATTGAAAAACAGATTCACCAGATAATAAACGCATATCCTCTGTCAAAAACAGATTCACCAGATAATAAACGCATATCCTCTGTCCCATCGAAACACAAGAGCAAAGTTTCAACAACGAGCATCATTCCTCAGAAGAAATATCATCATCCATAGAACCAATACTCCGCCGCATACTCCACCTCAAACGTGCCCTCGTGTCCCGCGCACGTAGCCGGACTAACACCGCCAGCTGTATAAACACGAAAAACTTCCTACACACCACAGTTAGTACCATGTAACTTAGGCACACAAGCACAGAAACACAGAGGCAATGCATACCTTAATTCCCACCCCATCAATCCCATCCAGCTTGAGCCACGGCACATCCCCACTCTTCGGGGCATTAGCACTAGCGACCTTCTTCATCGTAGCCCAATCGTCATCCCCGCTGAACCTGAGATCGAAGGACGGCTGTCCAGATCCCGTAAAGTAATGTTCACCGAGAATGCCCGCTCCCGTTCCAGCCAGGCTGATCACCGTGGCAAAAAAGTCCAGCGTCTCAAGGGGAATGCCTTGCACGAGGGCCGGGAGATGGTGCAGGAGCTCCTCATCGGCCGAGGCGATGCAGGAGACATCGAAGAGGGTGGCCAGGGCGCCAACGGAGGTGGGCTTGCTGGTGGAATTCTGAGGTGAAGGGCAGGTGTAGTTTTGGGTTCCTCGGCCGAGGGCGACGTGCTGGAGGGTGAGGTTGCTGGCTGGGGTGGGGAGGGTTGTGAGGTTGTGGTTCATGTTGAGAGTGGTGGTGTTGAGCGAGCATGAAGTGAGGTGGAGATTCTTCAGGTTAGTGATGGTGGAGCTGAAGATGGAGGTGGTGGTTAGGATGTCATTGGCATTGGTGTTGGCGTCAATGTCGGTGTCAGTGTTATTGGTATCATCGGGGGTGGAGTGTGGGATTGCGGTGACGAGGAGGGGGAGGAGAAGGATGAGGAGGTAGTTGAGAAACATCATGATGTAGATGTTTGTTTCTTAGATGAGAGATGAGTAGCTTGCGAGCGGTTTTGGGCTGCGAGTTGCTGTTCTCAACTGAAGCACAAGATGAAGTGGGTTGGTGGTGGTGAGGAAGTTGTTCTGATGGAAAGAAGCATCGACAGATATAAGTAGTAGGAGAATGATCCACTCAGTTATTGCAGATACTGATGTTCACTGAATCACCACCTATTCACTCAGTTCCATTTCTGAGAAGCAATATAACCAGTCTGCCTTGACATCCCTCAGAATTCCCTCTCAGCCATGCTAAATCAATCCAGTCCAGTTGATACACGCAAGCACTGATATGTTGGATAGCCAGATACACTGCCTCCACACGAGTTAACCGGTGAGGACTAAAGTGAACGAGAAAGAAGCCTTCCTCCAAAGCAACCAGAAAATAATCTTAGTATGTCCGATATCTCGCATGCAAAGACAACCCACAGGCAACAACCCTCCAACATTCAACCAAGTCAGTCAGTCGGGCATAGCATGGACCCCCCAGGCCATCAAGTTATATCCTATAGGCAGCACAGGCGCTACACCCAAAAGCAGCCTTGCAGATATAGCCACACGCCTGTGTAATCTACCTTGGAATCTGTCTAACAGGCATTCGCGGACGGCAGTGGATGTGAGACGCGCATAAAACCAACAAGGTTTGATATAAGCGCCGTTGCCCTCGTGGCCATGCATCGGCCGTTGAGAACATTTTCCGAACCAGAAATCTCTTAATTTAGATACATCTGCGGTAGAGTAGCCGAGTTAGCGCCTGCTATTATTACTCGACATATATTGGAGATGGTTGTGGGACAATCTGCATACACAATGTCATGCGCGGTTTGGGACACACGATGTCCTCCATAGCCATTGGTGCGATGTGAAATTACCGTCGCTTCGCGTGGAAGATTCAACATGCTAGTTGCCGTGAGCCGTATGTCGCTGTATACCGCAAGTTCTTGGTGCTTCTGCTGTGTTTACCTTTGCGGATGGTTGGCTTTGCTGATGGATGACCACGATGGAAGAAGATGGCCCCGACATTGAAGCCTCTTAATATGCAAGACCGGTTCGGGATGAACATGAATATAAGATGAACAGCAGCTTCTGCAGGCTATGAGCATGCCTCGCCATCATCTTTGAATGAAATAACCTCTTCCCCAAGATCGCGCCCCGGCGCTTCAAGCCCACAACCTGTTACACCATCACCATTAGCGATTCCGCTGTGAACCCCATCACTTCCCCATATATAGCAGCCCTAGATAT